TCAATTTTTTTTTTTTTTTTTTTTGGGGGTGGGGTACAGTGGGTGAGGGCCAGAAGATGAGGATTTTCATTTTCCTTTTTTTTTTTTTTTTTTTTTTAATTTAATTTTTAACTTATTTTTAAGGATAATATGCAAAGTTACCATTTTGCCATTGCTAATAGGTCCAAATTGTTCAAATTTTGAATTTTTTGATCAATTAACGGTTTCCAATTTGAACTCAAATTGCATATTTATGAAATGTTAGATACCTTCGCTGGCACAAAATGAATGTTAGGATAAAGTGTACAAAAAGTGAAAAAGATTGAGATTGCTACTACAATTTTCCCTTCTTTTATCACGTAAAATTTGTTTTTCATGTATTTTCATTGATTTACATCTATCATTGCATGTTTTATTCTGCAAACTTTAATATGAAAAATGCTACATGATATGTGAAAAAACCCGGCGAAGAAATGAAACACGCTTAAATGCAAAAACAGCACGAAAAATCCTTGAAAGTATATAAACAACAGCGAAAATGTATAAACTACAGTACATGAACAAAAAAAAAAAAAAATATCCCACTCTTGTTTGTTTTTTGGCCAACTAGAATTAGTAATCAGGAGAGCCTCCAAACTATTCAGAACCAAGGAAAGCAGCATTTCTGCAGAAAACAATTAGAGAGAAGAAAATGCTGAATTGTTAATGAACTCAAAAAATAGGAGCATAAGAGCGAGCTAGGCCTAAAGACCTTTCAAAATATGAAGTAATCTACAAACCTTCTGATTGTTATTGTGCTGATGCATTGGTGTGTTGTGAGATGTATGTTTCGGCGTGCCAGAGCTATTTCCAGGCCCCACATTCCTTCCCTTCCGAGCATCATCGAAAAGTTGAGTAAAATTTTCGGCAGATTGAGGATCATCATCGTTCCATATGCCGAATTTTGGAACTGCAGCACTTTTATCAGGCTACATTGCCAAGAATAAGAGAGACCATTAGGCATTTCAAGTTAAAATTTGTGGACTACAGAAATGAGACCCTAACTGAATACTGTGATCTATGAAATCGGACAATAAAATCAGGGAGAAATGAAATAAACTTACAGTTTCATCTCCCTTAGTAACTGGCCTTAGTCGAGATCTTCCAGGAGTGCCGTGACTGCTATCATACGAGTTCTTTCCTTCTGAAGAAAAAGAACTATTACCTCTCCCTGAAACCTTGGCCTGATAATGTGGATGAAGTGGTGACCGTTCAATGCTGTACTCGGATCCTGCACTTTGCCTTGCAGGTCCATTGGACCTTGCTCCACGGTCTCCATAATTGCGATGAGTAGATTCATTAGCAGATTTCTGTACCATATTTTCACTTCGAGCTGGAGGATTATTCGACTGTCTAAAATCAAAATCTTCTCTACTCACCCTATGGTCAGGTGTTGGCCTATCTGCTACCCTTGCAATTGGTTCATTTGGTCTAGTTCTTATGGGCTTCGATGGAGCAGAAGCTGGAGGAGAAGGATCCATGTTGGGGAACATATCTGGATTCTCTAGCGGGTCGTTTGGATTTATCATCTTTCCACCTCTATTTTTCCTTGCATTAGTGAAGACGACCGTGTAGGGAATCTTCTCTTCATTTTCCCAGTTACCAAATTTTGGAACACCTGGACGCTGTTTCGACAGGAATAAGAAACATTATTTCCTGTTTGACGCAATAGTTGCTTCATGGTTTTGAAATGATGAGATTTTTCATATTACAAATTCAGTATGTCATGTAAAGGCCACAATCATACAAGAAAACTATTTCCTTTTAATTATCATAGCGAACAAACGGCACAATGGATGGGGAATGGCATTCTAAGCACAACACACGGCAAAACACTTGGAATAGAGCTTATTTTTAACTTGTAATTTGGTAATACAGCCATCATAAATTTTGGGTCACCCAAGTGCATTTTAAACCCTGTTTAACTATGCTCAACAGGAAAGGATGTCGAAAAACTAAAGCCGCGACATTTCAGCTACTCAATATGAAGAAAAATACATGTGTGAACCTTTAAACTAGTTGACTGGTTAAAACCAAATCTGAGCCCATTTGTGTATAATTACATTCAGAGTCTAAATGTTGAAGGCTTGATTTATGAATGCATTGGTCTATCTCTTGACAATTTAAGATTCTGATAAAATGGTTAATATGGTATCAAAGTCGGGAAAAATATCTGGACTTAAGTTTCATGGCCACCCATTTATGAAAAAATGTCATATGCCCAACTTCGATGAAGAATGAGTCCAACTGGCACGTGAAAGGCGAGTTAAGATTAAAATTAATTCAATAACTATCCAAAAAATGCATCTTTTGAATTATCTATAAATCATAAGAAAGTAGACAAACAATGCTCACAATCAAAATGTTCATATAGTAAGATATAATCAAAATTCAAGAAAATTACAGGCTTTATACTATCCTTATAATGCGGTCTGTCTATAAAATTAAACCAGCCAAACACAATATTTCCAAACAACTGAAAAGGATGAAGTGTCAACCGTTTTGCCTAAAAGATTAATGTGTGAGAAAGAGAACACGTGTATTCGTTTAAAACTTGTCTTCAAACGCGTTCTTTCCCTGCAAACTTAATCTAACACTGTATAATTTTCACAAATGGTGAGAAGCGAAATTTGAGTATTTCATTTACACTCTGATACCATATTAGCGTCTCATTTAAAAGCTTAAACTGTTAAAATAAGGAAAACATAAAGCAATTAGCAGGCATTTGGATCAATTTGAAAAAAAGAAAAAAAATGATGTTGATCGACAAAAAACAGATAAAGACAGTAAACTTACAGCCATTTTTCTTCACCACAATTTAGATTGAACAGCCCTGAAATAACAGTAAAAGAATTCTTCAGAATCTCAAGAAAACTTCAATGTTTGAGATGAAACCAACGAAAAGAAGAGATTCCTAGAGAGGAGAAAATGGAAAAAAAAAATGATATAAATAAGAAAAGTAAGGAGTTGGACAGAAGTAAATAAATCAATGACCCGTTCTCGCTGACTATTATTCCTCTTCCTCTCGCGCCCTTTGCCTGGTCCAAGTCTTCAATTCTCTCGTTTTTTAAATATTAAAAGATGGGAAAATAAGATTTATTGTTTTAAAAGTTATGAGCAAATTAGAAAATAAGTAAAATAATATTTTGATTGAAAACGTATATAAATCAATGACACGTTCTCGTTGACTATTATTCCTCTTCCTCTCGTGCCCTTTGCCTGGTCCAAGTCTTCAATTCTCCCCTTTTTTTAAATATTAAAAGATGGGAAAATAAGACTTATTGTTTTAAAAATTATGAGCGACTTAAAAAATAAGTAAAATAAGTTTTTGATTGAAAACGTATTTAAATAACTTATTACATTGAGTTTGTTTTAAAAAGAAAAGTTTTATACTATAGATTTGTGTTCTATTTTAAAGGTCAATCGTTGAAATATAGTAGTACAAACCTCATGTGTAATAATCAATTTCATATTTATTCGACTTGAGATATATCCTTTAATTCATATGATAATTGTAGAAAGTTAATTTTAACAGTTCAAACATTTTGTAATCTTAAAAGTTAAGTTACTTATTTTTAACATGCTCTATTTTAAAGTAATTCCTTTTTTACAACAATTCTTACTCCAAAAACATAAATAATATGCTTAATTTTTACTATTGAATAAACTTATTTATTTTAAATATTAATTATTTACATATAAAAAATAATTCGTTAATAAGACTTGCACAACTGCTTTATGATAAAGAATATAAAGAAGAAATTTCAGTATCCATGAGTTTCAAACTTTATGCACCATATTTTCAAAAAAAAAAAAAAAAGGAAATAAAAATAATAATAATAAAATTAACGTCCTAGCTGTCTTTAAATAATAATTAGACAAGTGTATATTTATTATTATTATTATTATTATTATTAAAAGTTGAACTCCAACCTTAAGGGTCCCCCACCCCTGGAGTATCGTGAGAGAGGTTAATCGCGGGATGTGCCCTAACAAGTCAAGAAATAAGAACTTCCTATACACTGGTGCCCACAAAGAAGACTTGGACATTTAACATACTAATATTTATGTACTAGTGCGTTAAGTTGAGAAATTATTGGCCATCTACTTCCTTTAAGGATTGCATATTTTTTTGAACTTCTCTTTCTACGCAGGGTACTATTGTTATTTCAAAATATTAAGATAATGTGTTTTGGCTTGGCGCATCTAATCAAATCACATAAAAAGTTTAGTATAAAATAATAATAAACAATATTAAATAGATTATATTATGATGATTTGAGGTTGATAGTATACTGTAGTTTTTCAATTTCAATAAGTTAATCTATTTGTACATCATGATTTACGTCATAGTGAACAACCCCCTTACATGTTAAAGGAACCTACATAATTTTTTGAGAAAATTCCACAAAATATTCATTTTTACCTAATCATTTGTAAAAATGTCCACCATTGCAAAAATGTCTAATTTGAAAGAATTTAGACCAAAATACCCTTATTAACAATTTATAATTCCACACTAAGACAAAAAATGGACAATTTGCACTATTGTTATTGGCCAATAAAATTTTGACACATATCCTGTCATATTTATTTCAAAAAGTATATATATCAAATCACAATAAATGTTATATTTTTCATTGATTCAGAAGGGTCGAGAACGACATTTTTAAATGTAGATAAATGTCTTGTTCAAAATGAAATGTTATTCTAGACAAATAAAACGATGTTCAAATGTCGAGAATGACATATGAAATGTCTAGAAATATCATTTTAATGTAACTTCTCATGAAAGCCACTTCTCAAAATTTGTGACAAATTAATAAAAAAATCAAATGTCGATAATATCATTTCAAAATGTATTTTTTCATTAAGGACATAATAAACAAGTTAGCACTAAATTCAAATGAATTGACACTTTTTAACTCGTACCCTTAAAATTGAATATTCTTAAAAATGCCCCTAAATTTTTAAATTGTGGGCTCCCTCATTGTGAGGGGACTGTAATGGTGTACAGTAAATATTACTGTACACCAAGCACAGTTGTTTTCAATCGTACAACATAATGCACCATTTAAGGGTTGCATAATGTAAATTTGTCAAACTCGTACTAGAAGGCAACTCCCAATTGGTCGAAAATTTCTAAGCTATATTAGGGGCTCAGGACAATCCCCCGCGCACCCTCGCAAAACAAAAAATAAAAAAATATCATATTGTAAAAGGTCCAATGTTATTTTATCTATTCAACAAAAGAAAAAAAGGGGGAAATATTCCTTGTACGGGGCTTACAGGCTGTCTTTGTTTGTTGCTGTCTGTCAGTGAATTAACAAGTTCCACTTGACCTAGTAAAGTCAACTTCTAGAATTTGACCGAGTAAGGTAAACTTCAATCTCTGACCTTCTAATGACACCCAAAATTCAAAGACCTTGGCAGTGGAGAAATGGTATGCAACAAAATACACCTTACTAGGGAGAATGATGAGAAAATAATTTGAGGTTTAAACATTAAATTCTTCATTATTGACCATTTTATTTAATGCGGACTACACTATGTTGATTTCTATTTTGATTTCAATTTATTTTAGAAGAAGAATTTTTTTTGATGGTAAGATTGATTTAATCTTAATTTTTATTTTTCATTCAAAAGTCGTGGGCTGATAAACAGTATATTTCAACCTTTTATCATATTTGTTAAAAAAAATAAAAAAATTTGATTATTTCCCACGGAAATATTAAAAGCATTTTTCCCTATTCCTAAACCACCCTTGTCATTCGACTCATTCCCCTTTGATGGAATAATTTTCTAACCAAGCCCAGCGTCCTAATCTTTGAGGGGTAAAGTTGTAATCGTGATTGTCGATTAAAGGACAAAATTAAAAAGCTTGACTTGCAAGGGTTGAATTTAATATTCAGCATTTATTGAATTGCACGGACCGCAGATTAGATATTTAAAATGCAAGTTTAAAAATCTGCAAAAAAAAAAAGGCCAAACATGGGCTTATATATTCTTGAACACTTTTGCCAAATTTATGGATTGGATTAATTGTGACGAGCTTCATTCATTTTATTACGTGAAAATTACATAATTCTAGGTGTTTAAAGATTAGAATTCAAAAATAAGGGACCAAGTTTCATTATTTAAAAATCAGGTATCAATGGGGGTGTTTGATACCCATTTTTAAGGAAAAATGAATTTTAGAATGATAGATTGATGGAGAATGTGTGGATGAAAAATAAGAAAATATTTTTGATTTACGTGTAATATTATTTTAATAGAGAATATGTGGTTGAAAATAAGAGAGAAAAAATGTATTTTGAGAAAAATAGGAATCAAACGAGACCATAATAAATATCACCCCTAATTTAATTCCAACTCTAATTTTATTTTCTCTCTCTCTCTCTCTCTCTCTCTCTCTCTCTCTCTCTCTAAACACCCCTCTCTCTCTACCCTCCCCTCCCCTCTGCCATCGCCGATGAGAGTGCCCACCGTCGGAGACACCTAAGAGTCGAGCAACGACATAGTTGCTGCAGTGCGCCACCTTCGCAGTCGGCGACATAAGTGAAATCTGAGACCCTCTCGCCTGATTTGTGAGCGATCTGAGCTAGAGGTGTAAGCGGTTCGATTTTACCTATTTTTGACAAATTTTCAAACCAAACTGTTTAAAACGGTTTGAGAAAAACCCAAACCTAAACCAAACCATTTTGAACAGTTTGAAAAAAAACTCAAATCTAAACCTAACGGTTTGGTCCGATTTTAAGCCGCCGGTTTCGCCATATATTTCTTTGCCCGTCTACTTTTATATCATTAATTCATTGAATTTAATATATATTTATATCTTACTAGTAATAAATCTAAAACAAACTAAGCCCCTGTTTGAACCAAATTTTTGGGATAAAAAAATAAAAATTTGGACCTTTATCCCACAAGTTCAGCCGCATTTGTTGACCTACTGTTTCATATGTGGAACCCAGCCTCCTCTTCAACAGTCAATTTTCTCATTATGATGATATGGAAAATATGGCTCAAACATGGGCTAAATATATCTACTATAAATTTAAATACCAACTAAATCAAAGTGAAATAACAATAAACTAAAATATAGGTTTTTTTTCATTTTTTCACCTTTTTAGGCTAATAACGATACAATAATGTTACAATAAAAGTCTATTAAACTAGATATAAGACCCAAAAAACATAATGATGTCCAACAAGATCTCGTAATCATCATATCTGAAAAAAATAATAGTAATTAAATAAGGAGAATAACCACCCACAATAATAAAGAAATTGTTTATAATATCTAAATATAACTATTACACAAGTTTACGTTTGTATGATGTTACGAAATGCATTTAATTTCATATTATTACCTTAATTTGCTCCAAAAAAATTATTGATCTGAAACTTTATTCGTAACAAATATTATCACTGAAGGTTTAGAATCTCTTTGTCACCGATTTGGTATAATGAACTTCAATTCAACTTTGAAGAGGCGTGAAAAATCTGAAAAAGAAGTGTGGTAACGGTGGCTCAAGACTGTGTTGGGAGTCGATTGTAGTTCATCTAAATTCTGAAGAGGAAAGAGGCTTTTGATAGATTATGTTAATCTTGAAATTATTATATATATATATATTAGGATTATTGGATAATAATAATAATAATATATCTGTATTAGAAAATTAGAAATTTACAAAAATAACCACAAATGACAAAACTATTAAATTTTACATATTTGGATGAATTTTCAAAAAATTTCATTTTTTCATTTTTTTTATTTTTACATATTTTTTCGTCGATCCGATTTGGTTTTAAATCGCAATTTAAATTCTCAAACATAAACCAAACCATTTTGACCGATTTGGTTTGGGTCAAAACCATTTCGTTGATCGGGCCCACGTGGCACCAGACCGACGGTTTCTAAAATGCTATTTTGATTCAATTTTTCAATTTTGCGATTTTTCCTTACAGCCCTAATCTGAGCACCGCTTGCCTAATCCTGATTTGCTGCAGCTGTCGAAATTTGAGCGCCACTCGCCTTGCTGTGGCGAGCATCGGTGCTGCTACAAGCTAGTCACAGCTTCGGTGCCACTACGAGCGACCTAAGCATCGGTGCCTGATTTGCTGCAGCTGTCGAAATATGTAGTATGTGTGCTGATTTGTGTGGTGGTGCTTGATATCGATAATGTGAGATGGGTGGTGTGGTTGTATACGGTGGTGTTGGTGAAGTTCCGGGTGTGTGTGCTGTGGGTGCCATGGTGTTGGAAGAGAATCTCGGCCCTGATATGAGTGGCGCTTTTTTTGGGTGTGGATGCTGCGATGAAGCTTTGGTTATGGTGTTTTTGTGTGGGGTAGTGATTTTGTGGTTGGTTTTGTTTGCTAGTGATGGTGGTGCACTATGGGTGGGGTGTGGTGCAGTCGATCGTCGTCTTTTGGTGGTGGTTTTTTTTGTGTGTTTGGTGGCAACGGTGGATCTCGTAGTGTCGATTTTGTTGATGTTGGCGTTGGCAACGAGGTGAGGGTGGTTGCAAGTGTCGGTGATGGCAATGGAGTTGGTAGTGACTAACTATTTGACCTATGACTTTAAAATTCGATCTTCTGTGACTAAAAAAAGTAATATGTGACTATTAAATTTGAAAATATGGGACATGTGACTATAATTTCTTGGATTTGTGACCTATAATTTTTTGATCTGTAACCTCGACATAATCTGTAACTTATCAAAATTGTGATTTGTGGCCTCGAAAAAATCTGTGACCAATTAATTTAATGATATGTGACTGGTAAATAAAATCTATGACTTATAATTGTGAATATGTGACCATGAATAGTATAACGGTGGCTTTATTATCATTATTTAATAAATATTTTTAATTAATTAGCTAAAGCCTAATTTTTGCACTAAAGACACTTGTAACTTGAATTTTGAATTGGACATAGTTAACACCTAATTTATGAACTCTTCCCTTTTATTATTCTTAAGAAAAACTTGACTTCCCCCATATGAATCGAAGGAACGAAAGAGAGAACAAGTCATATTATGTATTTATCGTGTGTCTCTAGTATACAAGTATTTAATTGAATAAAAATATGTCAATGACAACACAAGCACAATCGTACAAAGGTTTTTATTTGTCAAGTTAATACTTGATCGTCTCCGTATCTAAATTCAATAATTTCTTTGTTAAAATATTGTAGTAGAACCCTTGCACAATCATTTTATTTATATTTTTCAGTCCTTCAAGTTGCAAATATGCCACAAAAGGCTAATAGACGCGGACAATTTTGCGATTTGCCTTTTTATAGCAATGTTTTTGTTGGCAAAAATATGCTACGACTAATTTATAAATCCAATCAGACTTGCTGGACATGTCACACCTGTTGCAACATATCATCAATACCAAAGGTACCATGAACAGGCCATACTCCATTTTGAAGAATAATTGCCAGAAGAATAACTTCTGGCAAGTATGCAGTGAAATGCATGAACACACTGAATCTTCTCAATATTGGGAAGAGCCAGGAAATAGTAATATTATTATTATAGAAGGCAATGAAAATAGTTAGAAAACATACTTCCTGTTTAAAGTCGAAGAGAGGGCAGAAAGGACGACCATTTGGGAGGCTGGCAATGGGCACCACCTGAAGCTCATCAAAAATGGATGGAAGCGTGTTTCAAGCTGCAGATACAGAACAACAATTCCTCAAGTTTTGTAAGCAAATATTTATCAATGGCAAATTCATGCCTAGATCGAATGCCAAATGTTACAAACACAAAATTCGTAACCAAAAAATAAAATAATAATAATAATAATAATAAAATTAAAAGAGAAGAAGAAGAGCGGTTTAACTTGATGAAATTAGGACCTCCTAATATTGGTAATTTGAAGAATCAATAAGCCCCCGAACTACAAACAAGTGTGCAAAAATAAATTCACAACATTTTATTCATTCTTTGATTCTGTTAAAGAAGTAAATCAGGTCACTTAGGCAAGAGTATAACTAGAATTTATTTTATTTCCATTCATGTACTAAGTTACCAAAACGTGTACTCTTATTTTTCTATATAATGAAATAGGAGGATAAGAAGAAACTTTCTTCTCTCGATTTATGCCAAACTCATTTCTCTTCTTGGCATCAGAGCAAAGTTTGGTATCTTTTTCTCAACCTCTATTGCTTCTCATTCACCCGAAACCATGTGATGTGTAATCTTCGCAGAATTATGCTCACCATTGTCGAATCGAGCGGTCAATTGACGACGGCATCTCCAGTTGAGTAGATCTAAAGCGTTCTGTCGAAAAGCCTAGTGCTTGTGCAGTGTCTATTAGAACTCCTCCGTCGGTTCTGTAGTGAATTCATGGTGATTCAGCAGTTGCAGTAAGTGGGTGCTCTTGTGGTGCTATCTGTTGAAGACTGGGTAGCGTTCGGAGCTCGTAATTTGGTCGGCTGACTCCATTCTCCAGCAGCAGTGGACGACGGATTTGGTTTGTGCAGCGGAGTCTGTTGATTTGGGGCTGCGTGTGTTAGTTGTATGGGTTGTTCAGTTTGGGCTAAGTCTATTATTTTATAGGCTGTTTGGTTTAGGCCCTTAATTTATTCCAGTTGACTTGGGCTGTAAGCCACTATTTTCGATCTGAGCTGCGACTTTAGTCAACCATTTGTGGGTTACCTAGAGCCCTAGTTATTTCAGTGGATAATTTTTGTGGGTAGGTGTTTTTAACTATTTTATTTTTTTATTTTTGGGCTCCTTTATTTTCTGGGTTGGCCAGTTGTACTATTTTTTGATTCGTGGTTAGTATTCAAAATCGAGATATTCAATCTAATTTGACCTGACACTTGAAAAATTGAATGAAAGAAATTATACTTACTGGGCTATGTGTGTCGAGATGTTCTTGCAAAGCAAATGTTTATTTAATCACTTGACTTCAGACAAGCCATTTGTCAAGTCCTCAAAAAGTGACTATACGCTGAATGATCAGTAAGATCAAGAGGACAAAACCATAATTGGACTTATGATCGGTAGTATTGAGCCTCATGTCGAGTCTTCATCCCTCTATATGACTACGGCTAAGAAAATTTCGTAGCACTCATACATATACATTCTGAAACTGGAAATGTTACTATATATGAGACGTGTAAACAATAATTTGGGCTTGAGAAGGGCCCCTCCAACCTCATTGAATATTATAATAAGTTTTTGGCTATGTGTCAAGAGAGAAATGTGTACCAATCTCTCTTAATTTAAAGGTTATAGAAAGACATCGTGAAGACATTGAAGATGTCTAAAAATTCCTTATTGGTCTTCTGCACAACTTTAAAGCAGTCCGGACACAAATATTAGGTGGAAAAGAACTTCCCAATCTTGCAAACATTCTCTCGTATTCAGCGCTCTACTTTATCAGATGTTACACCCAATAGAGAAGTTCTGCTTTTGTTGCTAGGGTCTCACTTATGGGTGGATGTAATAGTCGAAGTAGACGTGGTTTTGGCCCTCGTGGTGACAAGACAAGATAGTCAATGGTCATTCGAGAAATCATGAACCTCGAAAATGTACTCACTGTGGTCGTATAAGTCACTCCACTGATTATTGTTCGGACGTACATGGCAAACCATCTAGATCTGCCAATCATGTCTCATCCAATGAGGCCATAACCATATATCTGGATCGGTGACTAACTCTTAACTCAACATCCAAATTTGATTTCTTATCTGTACCACGGGATGAGTATACTGAGTTCTTAGCTCATAAACATGTCGCCTCCAATTCTATGGTCACTCTCGCTCAGTCAGATAATGCATCTTTTCACTGTTTATTGTCATCTTCTTATAATCCATGGATTATAGAATCTGAAGCAACTGACACGACAGGTTTGTCTACTTTTCTTGATTATCATCTTTTTATTTCTTCCAAATGTGTCACTCTAACTAATAGTTCCCGAACTAGCGTTGCAGGCTCGAGCAATGCCCATCTTAGTCCTAATATTGATTTGTCGATTGTCCTTCATGTTCCCGACTTTCCCTATAGTTTATTGTCCATTAGTAAAATTATCACAACTCTTCAATGTTCTATAACCTTTTATCCTTCGTTATGTATTTTTTCAGGATCTTACCTATAAAAAAAATGTATTTTTCAGGATCTCAAGATGAAGATGATGATTGGTATGTGACATGAAATTAGAGGCTTGTATTACTTGGAATTTTCACCAGTCTCTCCTCATCGAGCTCTCCAGTCTTCTGTTTTACCCATACAGTGGCATTGCCGTTTTGGTCATCCTTCACTTTTCACTTTAAAACGTCAAATTGTGAGTCTTCATAATGTGTCCTCCCTTCAATGTGAAGCTTGTCGACTCAGCAAACATCATGTGTCTTTTTCTTTAAGAACTATTAATCATGTTTCTAATTTATTTGAGATAGTTCATTCTGATATATGGGAACCAATCAATATTTCCTCTAATAAATCTCAATATTTTATCACTTTTGTAGATGGCTTGATTGTTCTTGTTAAGAAAGAAAATCAATTAGAAATAATGTGTATTAGGCAAGAATATTATTTGGTATATTTAGTTTTCATATATGTACGTGATTTATTCTCAATATAAATAGAAGAGGAGAGGAGACGAAGAGTATATTTTTACTCTCTCAGTTTATGCAAATTAATCTTCATGGTATCAGAGCGATTCCTTTAGGGTTTGGTATTAATTACCACTTCTTCTTCCGAGCAAATTGTCGTGGTTGTCGACACGACAGGTGGTTGGAGTAGCGATCGTGTATTAGGTGCAGATTCTTGGCGTCAACACTCTGTTCATAGAAGGAGTTTGGGTTGCAATTCGCTGTTGTGGGTTGCAGCAGTTTTCGTGGGTTGCAGTAGTTTTCGGCTCCGTTCGAGTTGGGTTCTCAGGTTGCCATTGTGTGCGGTTGTGGGTTACAGCAATTTTCTTGGCGTCATTCGGGTCGAATTCTGAATCTCAGTTGCCGGATTGCTCTTCGGTGGTGTCGTCAACTACAGTGAGTTCGGTGGTGTCGTCGATTACAGTGAGTCTCTCAGTTGCCGGATTGCTCTTCGTACAGTGAGTGGACTTTGTTAATTAAAACCTATTAATTTGGGCTGAGTAATTAGGCAGTGTTGCAGTGTTTACAGTGTTTATTGGGCTCAGTAATTTTATTGGTTTATTTTGTGATTTTATTTCTTTGGGCTCCTCTTTTGTGCCTCATTTAATATTATTTGGTCGATCACTCTGATTGTGGGCATATTTGTGATTCAGTGGATTGATTGTTATTGTTAATTGGTCTTATTCTCTACGATCCAAAATTATGTCATCCAAGATGGAAATGCTCAATTTGATTGGACCATTGGCACCAGAAAAATTGAATGAAAGAAATTATACTTATTGGACTAGGTGTGTCGAAGTTTTCTTGCGAGGTAAAGGTTTATATAACCACTTGATTTTAGACAAGTCGTCTGTCAAATCATCAGAAGGTGACTCTGTAAAGATCGATTATATTCTCAACGATCGGTGGGATCAAGAGGATAACGCAATTATTGGACTTATGATCAGTAGTATTGAGCCTCATATTGGGTCTTCATCCCTCTATATGTCTATGACTAAGCAAATTTTGGAGCTTCTCAAACATACATATTCTAGAAAAGGATATGTTATTCGAATTTATGAGACGTGTAAATAATCCTTTGGACTTAAGAAAGGCTCTTCTAGTTTCGTTGAATATTATAATAATCTTTTGGTTGTGTATCAGGAGAGGAATGTGCATTAACCTCCATCTCTTGATTTAAAGACTATGAAAAAAAAAAAAGCGGGAAGACATTGATGTTGTTAAAGTTTTTATTGGTCTTCCGCTAGAGTTTAAGGTAGTTCGGGCACAGATATTAGGTGTGAAAAAGCTTTCCAGTCATGCAGAGACAATTTCTTATGTTCAATGCCCTACTCTACCAGATAGTAAACCCAGTTGTGATTGTTCTATTTTTATTGCTTAGGGTGGCTCATTCAGGGGTGGACGTAGCAGTTGAAGTTGATCTGATTTTAGCCCTCGGGATGGATGAGACACTAGAGGCAGTGGTCGTTTGAGAAATCGTAAATCTCGATAATGTACTCACTGTGATCGTATAGGTCACTTCGTTGATTATTGTGGAGACTTACATGGCAAACCTCCTGGATCTGCCAATGAAGTCTCATCTAATGAGGCTCGTAACCGTGTATCGGATTAGTGGGTAACTCTAATTCAATACTAGAATCTGATTTTTTTTTTTTTTTTGTTTATACCCTGGGATGAGTATGATGAGATCTTAGATCATATACCAGCCACTTTCGCTTAGTCAGGTATTGTATCTTCTCACTGTCCGTTATTATCCTCACAATCTATGGATTATCGATTCCGGAGAAAATAAACATAAGACTGGTTCATCTAGTTCTCTTTTTGATTATTATTCCTTCCAAATATGTTACTCTTACTATCGATTCTCGAACTAGTGTTGCAAGCTCGGGCAATGCCCATCTTAGTCCTAATCTTGATCTGTCAACCATTTTTCATGTTCCTAGCTTTCCCTTTAGTTTATTTTTTTATTTGTAGAATTGCCACAACTCTTCAATGTTCTATAACATTTTATTCTTGTGTATTTTTTAGGATCTCAAGATGAAGAGAATGATTGGTATAGGGCAAAACTAGGTGGCTTGTATTATCTGGATCTTTCACTAGTCTCTGTATGGGGACCAATCAATATTTCTTCTAATAAATTTCAATATTTTGTCACTTTCGTGGATGATTATTCTCGTATGACTTGGTTGTTCCTAATGAAAAATCGTTCTGAGTTACTTTCTATATTTCAAGTCTTTCGTTCATTGATTAAAACTCAATTTAACAAGAAAATCCGTATTTTGCATTCTGATAATGCCAATGAATATACGTCTGCATCTTTTACTTCCTATTTAACTTCTAAAGGCATTACTTATCAAACATCTTGTGCATATACTCCACAACAAAATGGAGTTGCAGAACGTAAAAATCGTCATTTACTAGATATTACTCGTGCTCTTCTTTGTCATATGCATGTCCCTAAACGTTTTTGGAGTGATGTGGTCCTTACTGCATGCTATCTCATTAATCGCATGCCATCCTCCATTTTGAATGGTGCATCTCCATTTTCTCTTTTATTTTCCTCATCTCCACCATACTCCTTACCTCTCAAGGTTTTTGGGTGTGTTTGTTATGTTCATTCATTTGGTCCTGGTCGTGACAAACTTGACTCTCGCTCTATGAGGTGTGTTTTCCTTGGTTATTCTCAAACACAAAAAGGGTATCGTTGTTACAATTCTTCTCTACAATGCTATTTTGTAAGTGCAGACATCACCTTCGATGAGTTTACACCTTATTTCCTTAATCATAGCACGTCTCCCAAATCTACTCGGGATCCCGTTAGCTTACCAGTTCCATATCTACCTGTTGACATTTCTCCAGAACCAGTCTCGCCTTCGTCTAATATATCAAGGTCCTCATCTTCTCATAAGGACACACCTCCTACTTTACAGGTTTATACCAGACGATCTAAGACACCACCACTCGTGGCGCCATCCAGCGCCTTGCCGTCTTCAGATCCTACTTCTGTCGTCTGTTCCGATACTGAATCCTTGCCCATTGCTCTCCGCAAAGGTAAACGTACTTGTATAACTAAATATCTTATTAGCCACTATGTCACTCTTAATTCGTTGTCACCTTCATTTTCTTGTTTCACATCCCAACTTTCTGGTGTTTTTGTACCTAAGACAGTGACAGAA